CGTAGTTGCCGTGTGTGATTAACTACTTGCCACATATGGTCAAACAGTAGTTGACATGCGTGTTTACCTAGTTGCCACGTGGGGTCCAATCATAGTTGTATGGTTAATCACAGTTGCCATGTGTATTTATCGAAACTACTATGCGGACGACACTTCACCGCACGAACTTTGGACGATGGAGGAATTAACGGTGCTATCCAGTGTTTGGTCTATGCATGGACGGCTTGATGTACTCTGTCGTCTGAAAATCGTTCAGATTTGTCGTGTGTGTAGCAGCGTTGTGTATTTATCTAGTTGCCACGTTCGCGTAGCTGCAGTTGCCATACACAACGTAGGAGTGCCGTGTGGGCGAAAAACAATTCATCCACACGCGCATGGGCTAGGTGGTGATTGTGTGAACAAAAACTAGTTCGTCCACACAGCCCAGCTGTCAAACAGCGTGATGCGGGCGTGTTGGCAAACTCTCCAACGCCCACACACCAAACCCGTCCTACGTAGCATGCAAATTCTGTCTCAATGTGTCAAGATTCATGCAAACTGTACTGGATGATGATCTACGCATGTGGACGAGTTGCAAACTGCCACATGTATGGGCGTTAGTGTTTGCGAAAAGAGTTAATACCACTATTGATACATAAACTTATAGGGGTGGGAACAGTTTCATACAAGAACTAAAAAAACCCACAAAACTAGCCCTCCAACTTGTCTGCTGTAACAAATTTATACAAAACCACCCCGAACTGCACACGTGGCACGCCATGTAGGCTCTATCGGGCCCGGATCACGTTTTTACAAAGAAACCCTCACGCTTTAGCAATTTCGCAGACAAGTCCATCCCTCGATAGAAAAGCACCTGGTCGCCGGCCCCGATGCAAACCCCTTCCAAAACCTTTCCCTTCTGCCCACGTCCCCTGTTCCTCCTCATCTCTGCCCGCTCCTCCTGCGAGGCGACGCCGCCGTCGGCCTCATCGGCGGCGACACAAGGCGCCATGGAGCCGCGGCGTAGGGAACCCGACGAGTACCCTCCTGAATACGGTAAGGACCTTCTTATTCGCGCTTCCCCTGTTCCTCTGCTTCCCCTGTTCCTGCACTCGGCGCACTAGGGTTTTTCAGGCCGATCATGCCGATGTAGGGTTGAAAATTGGGTCGATCTTCTCACTAGGGTTGGTTGTGTG